AGAGAAGTCTACTTTCGGAGCCCAGAACTGACAAACACTGAAATTGACTGAAAATCTGACTTACCACTCGTCTTTAGCTTCTTTTCTGGTCAAGATCTTTGATCCTAGCCACAATGAAAGAAGCACAACCGCAAAAAACAACCAACTCGCCGGAATATAGAAATATATATGAACTTCAACTTTTTAATAGACAAATTATAGAGTTTTTGGGAAGAAAATAGAGAGAAAATGGAAGAATAGAAGCTTAAAGAGAACATAATGAGCTAAACAAACTTAAAAGTGGGTTTTTGGTGCCATTAAAGCTTGAAATTGGTTGAAAATGGTGGTTGGGTGAATTGATGATGATGGCATTTTCGTAAATAAGTGAGGAAGATGAGGATTAGTTGGTTATTTGGATTTCCAAAAATAAAAGAAATTAATTTGAAGTAATGGTAATTTCGTAAATAATTGAAACTGAGAATGATTGTTTGGACACAAAATGGTAAATGTTGGGAAGGTGATTTTTGTGGGTTAGATTTATATTTTAAAGCAAATTTTAGGTCATATTTAAGAATCTCAAAAAGTAAGACTGAGAATATTTTCACAAAACCACTTATAATAGATCTGATTAGAGAAATTGGCTTTCTCCTTCATTTTGTATTTACTTTCTTTTCACAAATATGATTTATATCTAACAAACTCTCATAAAAAAAAATTATTTGGTAAAATGGTATCTAAGCGAAATTGACATTTTTTTCTTTATTATGCTTCCACAATTTACAATTCTGATTATTTTATGTTGCTTTATCAGATTTTCATATTATTCGATTGATTCGAGTTTCAAAGAGAAATCAGTATAGTAAAACTATAAGAGATTTTATGTATCTATAAACTTTTGTTTTCTTAGGATTAGTATTTACTTTTCTTATAAATTTTCCTTTTCTTAGTTGAAACACCTGATTTTTTCTTTTTATTTTTTTTGATATGGTAATAGTTACATTTTCTTTTTTTTTCTAAATAATAGTTGTATTTCCTAAATTTATGTTTTATTTTTAATTTAATCACAATACGTGAAAAATATATTTAAAACACAAAATCAAACTAAGAGTTATCCTGAGCAACATTAACCATATTTCTTTTGTAGTTTACATACTTTATCAACTATCTTCTTCTGTCTTACTGAGTTAAAAATATATGCAATTCGAGTTCTTCGAGTATATTAACGATCCCCTTCATTAACTATCTCCAAGCAAACAAAACCTCTTATTCTCTTCACATTCATCTTTCGTATATAATCTTTCTGTCTTCTAGAAATGTTATGCTTCTTGAAACTCACATCAAAAGCTTTTCGACATGATTCTCGCTATCCTCTTTCTCATTGAGTTTATCACTGGCCAATGCCATATCATTAGCATCAATGATTTTCGTTTTCTTAATTGAAATATATATCCTAATTAATCTTATTTACTTTTTGTTTAAAATTTTTTTTCTTAAATTGAAATAGATCTTTCTATTTTATTTTATTTTTAAAAAAAAATTAAATATATCCTAATTATTTTAATTTTATTTTTTTAGTCTAAATCGATAAATTTGACATTTACTTTTTAAATTATTTTAGAAATTTCTTTTTTTCTTTGTAAATAATATTTATTGGAACACATGTCAAAATTAAAATAAAAAAAACATAATAAATAATTTTAACACATTGGATTCCAATATAAAAAAAAACAGACTTGTCGTTTCGCAAAACAACATGAATTTCTTAGAAGTCTTTTAGAGCACCTCCATCAAAGGTATCTAACAAGATATCTCAGTATTAAAAATTAATTACTTAATAAAAAGAAGAGAGAAACTGAAATACGTTTCTCATTTAAGAAATCTTTAGATACACTAGGTATATAATTCGCGCTACGTGCGAGTCTGTATTAATATTTTGGTTTATTTTTTTTAGCTACTATCTTTAAAATTATTCAAAATTATATATGTTTATAAAAAAATTATTTATATAAGAGAATTTAGTATATAATGTGTAATTTTATCTTATTTTTATTTATAAATTTTAAAAAACTATTATATAAAATGATAACAATGACACCTATCGAATTATCCAACTTTGACGTACATATACATTTGATTTAGAAAAATATAATCTTGCTAAGATTTTGGTATTATTTTCTGTTTTCCATAGAATTTCTAAAGTTATTTTTTTCTTGAAGGTTTATGTGTTCAAATATTTAGTTTTTTATTGAAAGTCTTATTGATGTTGTGTACCACTGTATATATAATTCATGATTCATATCGATTCACATTTAATTTTGTTAGGAAGCTGTAATCATCATGCAAAACCATTTTCTCCTTCTCTGTCATGTCTTCAAAGAGTTTTATGTTATATTTTTATTTAGTTTTCATTGTTTTAATTGTAAAATCGAGTTGTTGTAGATTTTTTAAAATTGATAATTGATAATGTTTACTTTTTTTATACATGTATTGTTAATTGTTAATTTTTTTATTTAACTTTTAAATTTTTAAACCATATTAACATTTTTCGATTTAATAAGTATGTTGATTTGGATCAATCAGATTGAATTTACTATTTTTGTTGGACATAATTTGTTAAATTAACTTTTAATGTTTTAATTATACTTATAATTTTTTGTTTGATTTAAAAGCTGATGTGGACCAATTAAATCAAGTTTTTCCGTCCTAATCATACTTAACATTTTTTTATTTAATGAATATGCTGATGTGGAGTGTGGACCAATCAGATCGAGTTTTTTAATCTCATGTGGACGCCTCAATGCAATATACCATCAACTTTTATATATTATACTAGGCTTTTAACTCGCACTACGCGCGAGTCTGTATTAATAATTTGGTTTAATTTTTTGTCTAATATCTTTTAAATTATCAAAACTATAATATAATTATAGAAATTTTCTTTTATATAAAAAATTAAAACATAATATGTAGTATTTCCTATTTTTGTTTATAAAATTATAAATCTTATTAAGTAAAATCATATTAATGACACCTAACGAATTATCCAACTTCGATGGGTATATGTTTGATTTAGAAAAATGATTTTCTTACTAAATTTTTGGTGTTTTGTTTTGTATCCTTGGGATTTCTATGGTTCTTTTTTTTAAAAGGTTTATATGTTTAAATATTTAGTTTCTTTACTAAATGACTCATTAATATTGTGTACATATACATATATAACATATGATATATATTGATTCAGATTTACTTTTGTTAGTAAGCTACATTAATCGTGTAAAGCTGCTTTTTGCTTCTCCACCAGATTTTCTACGAATAGTAGGTTATATCTCTATTCAGTTTATAAGATCTGTTTTATTTGCAGTTAACTATTTCCTAATATTTGTTTTTAAACATGTAAGATGATGTTGTGACTTTACATTATCATTATTTTTTATTATATCTTTTGTGTGTTTATTCATGTTTTGAGTTGAATATTTTATCTTCATATATTCCCATTTGAATTTGATTCATAACTTTATCATATTATATTATTGAAATAAAAATTTAGAGGATTTTGCTCATGTGTTGTTCATATTAACTAAAAAAAGTAAATGATAGTTAGCCTAAATATCAAGCTAATTTTATTTTACACGACTTTTTCCTTTGATAATTTACCTCTCTTGATATTAATTTTTTATTTTCTTTTAAGACACCATTGTTTCTAAAATATTGATATTTTAAAGAAATAAATTTTTTGTTAGTTAAATACTTTTATATGAATTTTTTAAGTAGTTAGTCAGATATCAAGTCAATATATTTTTAAGTGTTTAAAAAAAAATATTCTGTAAAAATTAATTTTCGTTTTAGTTTTTTAGTTAATTAATTTCTTAATATTTATTTCTTAAATAATTAGCTTAAATATTTATACTATTTTGTTAGTTAAATTTTTTAGTATTATTTAAGTTTTTATTCTCTTATTTATTCTGTTTATATTGATTTTGTTAAACAAATAACAGAAATATTAAGTTAAGATCATCTTTTTTTGTTAATTTAACTTTCTCGATATGGACTTTCATTTAATTTTTATTGACATGTTGTAAGAAATAATTCATGTTTTGGTTTTTGTTAGTTAAACATTTTATATTGCTTTCTTCAGTAATTAGCATAAAGTATCATTTTTGGTTTGTTAGATTTTTGTGTTAAGTTTTTTAAATATTTTCCCAAAAATTATAAGTTTTAGATGACTTTCTTTTTTGATAATTTAAGATGAATATTTTTTTGGTAGTGTTGATATTTTAAAACAATAATTGTGTATGTTTATATGAAAATTTAAGCTTAATATTAATTCTAAATAAATTACTCATTTAAAATATATATGCTATTTTTTTAATCTAACTTTTTTATTATTGATTTACATATTATTTTTTTGTTAGTTTAGTTTTTGTGATAATGAGTTTCCATTTTATTTTCACAATAGATTTAGACTTTTGATATAAATTTATTTTATTTAGTTATTACAAATTATCTTAATTTTCCATTCGATTAAGATAATTTTATTTTTGTATGTTTTAATTTATTTAAATTATTAATATTATTTTTTATTTTTTTATGTTTAATAAAAAAACGCTGATATAGATTAATCAGATTGAGTATATATGTCATACGCCTAAGACATCAACACAGACCACAACTAATATATTTTAAGTTGGCAGTTTAGATTTTAATTGTATGTCGTGATTAAAATTTTAAAATAATTTAATTATGGTTTTAAATACAGTTTTTAATAATTTTGTTCAATATATATGATTTTTCTTTCATAATCTATCTATATATTAATTTACCTTTTTATTGTTAATAGAAAAATAAAATCTATTTTCAAAACTCTTTTTTATTAATAACTAACTTAAATTTAGAAACTTTACTAATAACAACAAAAACAAAATTAATTAAAATTTAGAAATTTTTCTTATAACAATTATAACAAATTAATTAATTTTTATATACAATATATAATTAACTAAAAATAATAATGATGTGTACCAATAGAATTGAATTTTTAAATCCTATGTGGACATCTTTAGAGGCATTTAGCATCAACTTTTATTAGTAATAGATGATGATTTAGATACTTTTAAAACATGTGTCTTCTTCTAAATGATTTAGTTTTTTTCTGTTTCAAAATTTAATTACAAAATCAAATAACATAATAAATATTAATATAAGATTAGTTGAGATACGATTTTGAGTATGTAACGAGTGGAGATGCTCTTAGTCCGCCCACCGAGCGGGCCCCAGCGTCAGTATACTGAATGGTGAGAAAGCATCTGGCATCGTTGTTCAAACATCTCCATTCGATCCAGCCAAAACTTTCCAATGGCGGATTCCTCCTCTTCAGAGACGCTACTCGCTGAGTCGTGGCAAGTGTTCATCAATTTCCGGGGAAAGGAGTTGCGCGGCAATTTCATCAGCCACCTTGAGGGAGCCTTAGACCTAGCTAAAATCAAATACTTCATCGACACGAAAGAGATCCCTAGCGAAGATCTTACCATCCTTTTCAAGAGGATCGAGCAATCGGAAATCGCACTGCCCATCTTCTCGAGCATGTACGCTGAATCAGTGTGGTGTTTAGACGAGCTCGTGAAGATCGTGGAACAAGAAGAGAAAGGAAAACTCAGAATGGTCCCCGTCTTCTACAACGTGACACCTGAGGATGTGAGAAACCAGGAAGGAGAGTTCGGACGTCTATACAGAGCGACTAAAAGGAAACGAGAGAATATGCCTAAGTGGGAGAACGCTTTGCAGTCTGTTCCAAGAAAGCTAGGCTTGCATTTGGCGAATTATAAGTATAAAATTTGTGTTGACCATCTGGTTGACCTGTTTCTTATCCAAAACTTTCACTATTTTTTTTTTTTTTTAATTTTTTTTGCTTTAATCGTATTGCAGAAACGAGAAGGAACTCGTGGACAAGATTGTCGACTCTGTTAAAAGATTGCTTGCCAAAACTCCACCAGTAAAAGAACATCTCAACGGGCTCTCTACGAATCTCTCATCTGTAAGTTCTAATGGCAATATTTCCTCTGGACACATCGAGAAGTCTAAAGCGCCCAATGATAACAATGATAACAATGAAATGACACGACGCCTTAATCAACTTGAAGAGAAATTGGATCCTAATTGCCCCGAAACTCAGATTGTTGGAATTGTTGGTATGCCTGGGGTTGGTAAAACCGCTCTGGCCGAAATGCATTTCATTAAGAACTGTCCCCTTTTTAATTTTACGAAGAACATCAGGATGATCCGGGAGGAGTCAAATGATAAATCGGATTGGCTGCGGGACAAACTTCTGGAAGGTGAACAGTTTAATGGCGAGGCTAAAATGTTCAAGATGAAGATTCTGGTTCTTGTGGATGATGTGAGCCATAAGGAGCAAGTCAATGTTTTACTCGAAAATCTCCAACGGATTAAGAAGGGCAGCAAGATTGTCATCACAACACGAGACAAGTCAACGATCGCAGAACTGGTTCACGATACTTATATGGTCCCTGGACTGAACGATAAAGAAGCCTTGGAGCTCTTTAAACACCATGCCTTTAACGATAAAGCATCTGGAACTACCACTGGGAACTTCCCGGAGCTATCCAAGAAGTTTGTGGATTACGCTGGAGGCAATCCACGAGCCCTCGAGGAATTAGGAAAGGAGCTTTGTGGGGAAGACGAGGCTCACTGGAAAAGGAGACTTGCAACGCTGCCGCATTGCTGCAATCCGAAGATCCTAACGGAATTGAGAATCAGTTATGATAGACTGAGTGATCAACAGAAGGATGCGTTTCTGGACATAGCTTGTTTCCTCAGATCAGAGGAGGAGGACTATGTGAAATGTTTACTAGACCCTTATGCCCCTGACTCTGGTGAAGCTGTCAGAGATCTTGCTGAAAAGCTCTTCATCTGCATCTCTGCCGGACGAATAGAGATGCATAATCTATGGTCTACACTGGGCAAGGAACTTGGTTCATCCGATGGAAATAAGTCAGGGAAAAGAATGTGGAATCATGAACAAATCACTAACACCCTACGCTCAGAGCAGTTGATCCACAATCAGAAAATAGAAAAGGTAAAACAAATCTCTACTCCCTCTCTAAACTACATAAACACAGTTTCTTGAGTCACATATTTATTGAGTTAAGGCTAAATTACTTCCATTTGGAGTTTGCTAACTTATCTTGTTCTTGTTACTTGTTGCCGGGAAATGAAAAAAAAAAGGTGAGAGGTATATTTCTAGACACGTCCGAAGTTAAGACGGGTATACCCATAGAACCGACAATCTTTGTGAACAAGTTCAACAAGAAGAATCTGCGATACCTCAAAATCTATGACTCTCTTTGTCCTCAGCAATGTGAAGTTGACTGTAAAGTAAACTTGCCTGATGGTCTGGAGTTCCCGTTTAAAGAGATCCGTTATCTCCACTGGCTAAAATTTCCATTGGATGAACTTCCACCAGATTTCAAACCAGAGAATCTTATTGATCTCAGGCTGCCTTACAGTAAGATCGAACGTGTTTGGGAAGCTGTTCAGGTGTGTCTTCTCGCATTATATTTGCATTGCTACATTTTATATACATGTGAATTTTTTTCTTAGCAAAAGCTATCTTCACAGTTTAAGAACACAGAACATTTTTTCAGTTTTGACAAAATATATTTGCAGAGTTGGTAAACAGTTATGATTTACAAATGAAGTTAGATTAAAACTAGTTTCATTTGAAGAAAAATAAACTATTATAACATCTAAACATGAAAGCAAACGTACACGTAAACATACAATTGAGACCTATGTAAGTTAAGCTGGTTGGTGCTAACAGTGTTCTGAGTTTATTGTCACAGGAAACGCCATGGTTGAAGTGGGTGGATCTACGTTATTCAACCAAGTTAACTGACCTGTCCGCATTGTCCAAGGCATTTCATCTCCGAAGATTAAATCTTGAAGGCTGCACGATTCTTGAAAAGTTGCCAAGAGAGATGAAAAATATGAAAAGCCTTGTTTTCCTTAACCTCAGAGAATGCGTAATGCTCTCGTCTCTACCGGAGGAACTGGATTTAGTCTCCCTGAAGACTCTCATCCTCAGTGGCTGCTCAAACTTTAACAACTTTGAGCTGATTTCTGAAAACCTTGAGTTTCTACATTTAGATGGCACTGCAATCGAGAGTCTTCCTCAGAGCATCCAGAACTTTCAGAAACTTGTGTTATTGAACCTGAAAGACTGCGAAAAGTTGGAGTTTCTGCCTGCCTGTCTCGACAAGCTGAAGGCTCTTGAAGAGCTAATACTCTCTGGTTGTTTAAAGCTTCAGAGTTTTCCTGATATTAAGGAGAACATGGAAAACCTGCAGATTTTGCTACTTGATGGGACCTCAATCAAAGAGTTGCCGAAGATGTTATTACACTGTGGGAACTTCAAAGACCAAGCGGTGTTCCATCGGCAACCTCGGATGAATGGTCTCTCCATGTTGCTGCGTCTATGCTTAAGCAGAAACAATATGATATGCAGCCTACAATCTAGCATTAGTCAGCTCTATCATCTGAAATGGATCGATTTGAAGCATTGCAAGAATCTTTTATCTATTTCAAGACTCCCTCCGAATCTTCAATGCTTAGATGCACATGGTTGCAGCTCACTGAAAAGAGTAGCGAGTCCACTGGCTATTCTTATGCCAGCGCAGCAGGTCCCCTCCTCATTCATTTTCACCAACTGTGAGAAACTAGAGCACGTCGCAAAGAATGAAATCATATGTTATGCTCACAATAAGAGTCGGATGATTTCAGATGCATTGAATCGCCACAATAAGGTCTCTCTCTCTCTCACACTTTCCTCTGCAAAGCTCGATCCACGATTTAAAACTGTATTGACTATCTTCTGTTTTGCTTTACAGGGTCTTGCATTTGAAGCTTTGGTGGCCACTTGCTTTCCTGGAAGTGAAGTTCCTGCTTGGTTTAGTCACAAAGCTTCTGGAGCGGCGTTGGAGCCAGAGCTGCCACGACATTGGCGTGAAAGTGGGTTTGTTGGAATAGCTCTATGTGCCGTTGTCTCGTTTCAGGACCACAAAATTCAGAACAACAAACTCCAGGTGAAATGCAAATGTGAGTTCAACAATGTTAAGACATCCTCCAGCAACTTTAACTGTCATGTTGGAGGTTTATCCGAAGCAGGCGATGAGCAACGCACGATTGAATCGACTCATGTGTTCATTGGCTACATCAATTGGTTAAATATCAACAAGTTTCAAGAAAAAGATGGTGATAAGGGATGTGTTCCTACTAAGGCTTCCATTAAATTTAGAGTGACGAATGATAGTGGGGAGGTTGCGAATTGCGATGTATTGAAGTGCGGTTTCAATTTAGTTTATGAATCTGGTTCTTGGGAGGCAAGCTTATGGACAGAGGACTTGAAACAAGGTGAAAATAGATGGTTGGGTCTCTATAGAAGCATAAGAAGGTTTTTTTAAATTATGATTGCAAATTGTGACGAAAGTACAACTAGAGACGATAAATTCAATAGGAAAGCAATTTGTTGGTACATAGCGTCATTGATGGGTAATTAGCTTCTCTTATCTACTTGCAATGCATGTCATTGTACAACATTTTTGTTTTTTATGTCTCTAGTATCAAAACAGAGCCACGAATGTTGGTATCACTGAAGTAGTGATAAGTGATAAGCATGGCATTTCCTATCGTTTGAAAGCAAAATATAGTATTGTCGCAGGTCCTTGGTTTGGGGAAAACTGTTATAAACCTAAAAGAGGATATTGCAATTGCTCAAATGCTTCGTATAGAATTTAATAAAGGGCAATTTTCATAATTACACTGAAAATAAGTTTTCAGGACAAAAATAATAGGGAAGCTAAATTTTTTCCACATCTAATCTTTCTTCCGATTTTACCCTTTAGGAAAGAATTTTAATATTTACGGATGGTCTTTATAAATATTTATAATTTTCTAAATGTCTCGTAAATGTGTATTATCGTTTACTAAACATTTTAGACTATTTAGAAAAATCGTCCTATATATTTATGAAAACTTCTCTAAATGTGTATGAGCATTTCCTAATCTCCCTAAATAGTATGAAATGTTTCCTTCCAAAAGAGTATGAAAACCTTCAGAAAACGATCTTATGTATTTAGAATATATTTATGAAAGCCTTCATAAGTGTGTATGATCATTTCCTAATCTTCCTAAATAATACGAAATGTTTCCTTCCAAAATAGTATGAAATAGTTAGAAAACAATTTTATACATTTAGGATAACCTTCCTAAAGGAGTAGGAAAGACTTCTTAAATAGTATGAAATGTTTAGGAAATGATCATACAATTTAGGAATGCATTCTTAAATAATAGTAAAAGCTTCCTAAAACCCCTCTCTCCTAAAACCCTAAGCGTTTCTATTCCTCATTCATTTTCACCAACTGTGAGAAACTAGAGCACGTCGCAAAGAATGAAATCATATGCTATGCTCACAATAAGAGCCGGATGATTTCAGATGCATTGAATCGCCACAATAAGGTCTCTCTCTCTCTCTCACTTTCCTCTGCAAAGCTCGATCCACGATTTAAAACTGTATAGACTATCTTCTGTTTTGCTTTACAGGGTCTTGCATTTGAAGCTTCGGTGGCCACTTGCTTTCCTGGAAGTGAAGTTCCTGCTTGGTTTAGTCACAAAGCTTCTGGAGCGGCGTTGGAGCCAGAGCTGCCACGACATTGGCGTGAAAGTGGGTTTGTTGGAATAGCTCTATGTGCCGTTGTCTCGTTTCAGGACCACAAAATTCAGAACAACAAACTCCAGGTGAAATGCAAATGTGAGTTCAACAATGTTAAGACATCCTCCAGCAACTTTAACTGTCATGTTGGAGGTTTATCCGAAGCAGGTGATGAGCAACGCACGATTGAATCGACTCATGTGTTCATTGGCTACATCAATTGGTTAAATATCAACAAGTTTCAAGAAAAAGATGGTGATAAGAGATGTGTTCCTACTAAGGCTTCCATTAAATTTAGAGTGACAGATGATAGTGAGGAGGATGCGAATTGCGATGTATTGAAGTGCAGTTTCAATTTAGTTTATGAATCTGGTTCTTGGGAGGCAAGCTTAAGGACAGAGGACTTGAAACAATGTGAAAATAGATGGTTGGGTCTCTAGAGAAGCATAAGAAGGTTCTTTTTAAATTATGATTGCAAATTGTGACAAAAGTACAACTAGAGACGATAGATTCAATAGGAAAGCAATTTGTTGGTACATAGCGTCATTGATGGGTAATTAGCTTCTCTTATCTACTTGCAATGCATGTCATTGTGCAACATTTTTGTTTTTTATGTCTCTAGTATCAAAACAGAGCCACGAATGTTGGTATCACTGAAGTAGTGATAAGTGATAAGCATGGCATTTCCTATCGTTTGAAGGCAAAATATAGTATTGTCGCAGGTCCTTGGTTTGGGGAAAACTGTTATGTACCTAAAAGAGGATATTGCAATTGCTCAAATGCTTCGTATAAAATTTAATAAAGGGCAATTTTCATAATTACACTGAAAATATGTTTTCAGGACAAAAATAATAGGGAAGCTAAAATTTTTCCACCTCTAACCTTTCTTCCGATTTTACCCTTTAGGAAAGAATTTTAATATTTACGGACGGTCTTTATAAATATTTATAATTTTCTAAATGTCTCATAAATGTGTATTATCGTTTACTAAACATTTTAGACTATTTAGAAAAATCGTCCTATATATTTATGAAAACTTCTCTAAATGTGTATGAGCATTTCCTAATATCCATAAATAGTATGAAATGTTTCCTTCCAAAAGAGTATGAAAACCTTCAGAAAACGATCTTACATATTTAGGATATATTTATCAAAGCCTTCATAAATGTGTATGATCATTTCCTAATCTTTCTAAATAATACGAAATGTTTTCTTCCAAAATAGTATGAAATAGTTAAAAAAACAATCTTATACGTTTAGGATAACCTTCATAAAGGTGTAGGAAAGACTTCTTAAATAGTATGAAATGTTTAGGAAATGATCATACAATTTAGGAATGCATTCTTAAATAATAGTAAAAGCTTCCTAAAACCCCTCTCTCCTAAAAACCCTAAGCGTTTATATTCCTCATTCATTTTCACCAACTGTGAGAAACTAGAGCACGTCGCAAAGAATGAAATCATATGCTATGCTCACAATAAGAGCTGGATGATTTCAGATGCATTGAATCGCCACAATAAAGTCTCTCTCTCTCTCACTTTCCTCTGCAAAGCTCGATCCACGATTTAAAACTGTATTGACTATCTTCTGTTTTGCTTTACAGGGTCTTGCATTTGAAGCTTTGGTGGCCACTTGCTTTCCTGGAAGTGAAGTTCCTGCTTGGTTTAGTCACATAGCTTCTGGAGCGGCGTTGGAGCCAGAGCTGCCACGACATTGGCGTGAAAGTGGGTTTGTTGGAATAGCTCTATGTGCCGTTGTCTCGTTTCAGGACCACAAAATTCAGAACAACAAACTCCAGGTGAAATGCAAATGTGAGTTCAACAATGTTAAGACATCCTCCAGCAACTTTAACTGTCATGTTGGAGGTTTATCCGAAGCAGGCGATGAGCAACGCACGATTGAATCGACTCATGTGTTCATTGGCTACATCAATTGGTTAAATATCAACAATTTTCAAGAAAAAGATGGTGATAAGGGATGTGTTCCTACTAAGGCTTCCATTAAATTTAGAGTGACGGATGATAGTGGGGAGGTTGCGAATTGCGATGTATTGAAGTGCGGTTTCAATTTAGTTTATGAATCTGGTTCTTGGGAGGCAAGCTTATGGACAGAGGACTTGAAACAAGGTGAAAATAGATGGTTGGGTCTCTATAGAAGCATAAGAAGGTTTTTCTAAATTATGATTGCAAATTGTGACGAAAGTACAACTAGAGACGATAAATTCAATAGGAAAGCAATTTGTTGGTACATAGCGTCATTGATGGGTAATTAGCTTCTCTTATCTACTTGCAATGCATGTCATTGTACAACATTTTTGTTTTTTATGTCTCTAGTATCAAAACAGAGCCACGAATGTTGGTATCACTGAAGTAGTGATAAGTGATAAGCATGGCATTTCCTATCGTTTGAAGGCAAAATATAGTATTGTCGCAGGTCCTTGGTTTGGGGAAAACTGTTATGTACCTAAAAGAGGATATTGCAATTGCTCAAATGCTTCGTATAGAATTTAATAAAGGGCAATTTTCATAATTACACTGAAAATAAGTTTCCAGGACAAAAATAATAGGGAAGCTAAAATTTTTCCACCTCTAACCTTTCTTCCGATTTTACCCTTTAGGAAAGAATTTTAATATTTACGGACGGTCTTTATAAATATTTATAATTTTCTAAATGTCTCATAAATGTGTATTATCGTTTACTAAACATTTTAGACTATTTAGAAAAATCGTCCTATATATTTATGAAAACTTCTCTAAATGTGTATGAGCATTTCCTAATCTCCCTAAATAGTATGAAATGTTTCCTTCCAAAAGAGTATGAAAACCTTCAGAAAACGATCTTACATATTTAGGATATATTTATCAAAGCCTTCATAAATGTGTATGATCATTTCCTAATCTTTCTAAATAATACGAAATGTTTCCTTCCAAAATAGTATGAAATAGTTAGAAAACAATCTTATACGTTTAGGATAACCTTCATAAAGGTGTAGGAAAGACTTCTTAAATAGTATGAAATGTTTAAGAAATGATCATACAATTTTGGAATGCATTCTTAAATAATAGTTAAAGCTTCCTAAAACCCCTCTCTCCTAAAAACCCTAAGCGTTTATATTCCTCATTCATTTTCACCAACTGTGAGAAACTAGAGCACGTCGCAAAGAATGAAATCATATGCTATGCTCACAATAAGAGCCGGATGATTTTAGATGCATTGAATCGCCACAATAAGGTCTCTCTCTCTCTCACTTTACTCTGCAAAGCTCGATCCACGATTTAAAACTGTATAGACTATCCTCTGTTTTGCTTTACAGGGTCTTGCATTTGAAGCTTCGGTGGCCACTTGCTTTCCTGGAAGTGAAGTTCCTGCTTGGTTTAGTCACAAAGCTTTTGGAGCGGCGTTGGAGCCAGAGCTGCCACGACATTGGCGTGAAAGTGGGTTTGTTGGAATAGCTCTATGTGCCGTTGTCTCGTTTCAGGACCACAAAATTCAGAACAACAAACTCCAGGTGAAATGCAAATGTGAGTTCAACAATGTTAAGACATCCTCCAGCAACTTTAACTGTCATGTTGGAGGTTTTTCCGAAGCAGGCGATGAGCAACGCACGATTGAATCGACTCATGTGTTCATTGGCTACATCAATTGGTTAAATATCAACAAGTTTCAAGAAAAAGATGGTGATAATGGATGTGTTCCTACTAAGGCTTCCATTAAATTTAGAGTGACAGATGATAGTGAGGAGGATGCGAATTGTGATGTATTGAAGTGCAGTTTCAATTTAGTTTATGAATCTCGTTCTTGGGAGGCAAGCTTAAGGACAGAGGACTAGAAACAAGGTGAAAATAGATGGTTGGGTCTCTAGAGAAGCATAAGAAGGTTTTTTTAAATTATGATTGCAAATTGTGACGAAAGTACAACTAGAGACAATAAATTCAATAGGAAAGCAATTTGTTGGTATATAGCGTCATTGATGGGTAATTAGCTTCTCTTATATACTTGCAATGCATGTCATTGTACAACATTTTTGTTTTTTATGTCTCTAGTATCAAAACAGAGCCACGAATGTTTGTATCACTGATGTAGTGATAAGTGATAAGCATGGCATTTCCTATCGTTTGAAAGCAAAATATAGTATTGTCGCAGGTCCTTGGTTTGGGGAAAACAGTTATGTACCTAAAAGAGGATATTGCAATTGCTCAAATGCTTAGTGTAGAATTTAATTAAGGGCAATTTTCATAATTACACTGAAAATAAGTTTTCAGGACAAAAATAATAGGGAAGCTAAAATTTTTCCACCTCTAACATTTCTTCCGATTTTATCCTTTAGGAAAGAATTTTAATATTTACGGACGGTCTTTATAAATATTTATAATTTTCTAAATGTCTCATAAATATGTATTATCGTTTACTAAACATTTTAGACTATTTAGAAAAATCGTCCTATATATTTATGAAAATTTCTCTAAATGTGTATGAGCATTTCCTAATCTCCCTAAATAGTATGAAATGTTTCCTTCCAAAAGAGTATGAAAACCTTCAGAAAACGATCTTACATATTTAGGATATATTATGAAAGCCTTTATAAATGTGTATGATCATTTCCTAATCTTCCTAAATAATACGAAATGTTTCCTTCCAAAATAGTATGAAATAGTTAGAAAACAATCTTATACATTTAGGATAACTTTCATAAAGGTGTAGGAAAGACTTCTTAAATAGTATGAAATGTTTTGGAAATGATCATACAATTTAGGAATGTATTCTTAAATAATACTAAAAGCTTCCTAAAACCCCTCTCTCCTAAAACCCTAAGCATTTCTATGGCCGCTGCCGCCTAACTCCTCCGACCCGCCAGACACGCCAAAGCTTTTATTGCCTTTCACTATCCATCCATCTTCCCCCATCGACCTTGTTTTTCTCTTCTCTTGTCTTTTACCTATCTTTCCAGATCTGAATCTAAAGTCTGCAGATCTTCAGTCACAGCATTCAGATCTGTGTTGTCAAAGGCCAGATCCGCACTTGTTTCTGATCTCCGCCATACTCCTCTCGGATCTCTGGATTTGGAGACATCAGATTAGGTGAGGATCGAGAAGTCTATGATGAGGATGATTGATGCAATCGAGTTATGATGATGATGGATGCAGTTGGTTAATAGAGAATGTCGGAGATTATGATCGATGATGAAAATTGTCGAGATCGACGAAACTGGGCAATAGTGAAAATCACGATTTAGAAATAATATATTTCTTATTGAAATGAGGGTAATATAGCAGTTTATGTGAAAAAGATTGTGATGTAAAATTATTTAGCATTCTAGTGTATATTAGAAACAAAAACTTAGATCAGGTGTTTGAGTGCATTTCTCTAATAAAAATGAGCATTAGTTTTTTCCTAAAATAAATTTAAAAACATTTCCGTTGTCGATAAATTTAATAAAATTTACACATGATTAAATCATTTAACAAAGCTTAGTTCTTAAAGTTTATTTTTTGTTTGTCCTCATAATACAAATATATCTTGATTTATGCTGGGATTAAAGAGAAAATCTCTAACCACAATGCCACCTCATTGGGTGGTTACGTTAGCTAAAATATAAATCAGATTATATATTCCAAATTAGTGAGTAAAAAATTATACTGGATTAAATATATATATATATATATGGGTTTGTATTGAATTCGGAGTGAAATACGACTTTTATAAAAAAAAACGATAGTACATCAGTGTTAGAGGAGAAATGAGTATATTTTATAAAAAGGTTTTTTCTAGCAATAACCTAAGCCCATTAAGATTAATAAGACTGTGCCGACGTAGCTCTAAAAAGAAAAACCTCGATGATAATTTCAAAACTCTCGAAGAGTCGGATCAGCTCAAAAGAATATTAAAAGATAAAGAAAAATTTTCATATTCTTTGTAGAATAAGGAATATTTTCGTATCGAAAATATAGAAATATTCACTAAAGGAGCTCGGAGCGACCGACCTCATATTCCTATAAATAAATAAGAAGACCCCAGAGCTCAAGAAGAACAACTCATACAATCTAGAGAGCATCAGAGCATAACCTCTCGGTTAAGCCATTCTTGTAATCGCTTTATCTTTGAGCTATCAATAAAAAGATCTTATTCTCTGAAACAAAATAACTGTTAATCAAAACCCTAGTAGTGATTTTCTGGTTCAACAATTGGCGTCAATTATGGGGACTAGGAGAATAAATTCTAAAAACTAGCAAAAGAAGATCCGAAGCGATGAGCCTTCTGACCGACAACAACAACCTCACCTCTAACACAGAGGATACTACCATGCGTGCTGATATGCATGCCCTCGATGAGCACAGCAATCCTATCATCGCAATCCCACCACCTGCGGGAGCACCTCTATCCTTGTTGCCGATCTCGCCGCAGCAATCCAAGCTGCCTTGCAACCACTCACACAGAACCTGGTGTCCAAGCTAGACATCCTTCAGGCCCAGCAAGATAAGTACGACGAGCAGCTCAGCACTCTCCGCAACTACCACAAGATCGGCACCGCTAGAACGACGATTGGTCTTCATAATGCCGGACCAACCGATGAACTGAATTCCTAGATCGCAAAGCTAAATCAACGGATCAATGCAATCAGATCCCAAGTCCACCGAGCTACAAGCTCGGCCCCTGAGATCTCGGCAATCCTCTCTGCCACGGAGCGAAATCCGTTCGCCTCCAGGATCACTGACGTACGCCTCGGCACGGCAATCAATCTAAAGCTTCCATACTACAACGAGACAGAAGACCCAAATCTATGGGGTTCAACGTCGCCATGAAGAGGCAACGATTTGAAACCGACCCTGAACAGGAAGCTAATCACTGTCAGACCTTCGTGGAGCACCTCAGCAAAGACGCTCTCAAGTGGTTCTCCAACCTCCTGCCGGCCTCGATCAAATCCTTCAAGGATATATCTCATGCCTTCAAGCACTACTCGATGTTCATTACGAAGAGGATGGTCAATTTTTCACCCTAATACAGGAACGCGACCAACCCCTCCAGGATTTCATTGAAAAATTCAAGGATGCTGCCGCAGCATACGGCCAGATCCCGCAAGCTTTAGCCATCGAGGCGCTCATGAACGGTCTATGGTTCGAATCCTCTTTCAAAGAAGATTTGTAGAAAAATTTGAAGGACACCATAGAGGACGCACTC